ACTCATCTGAGACCGGCTGCCACCACATGCCTAGTACCTTCTCAATAACGGCTTCCGGCTCCTCAAAACATTTGGCATCAGCAGCGTGCTCAGCGTGTAATGAAGCCAGTACCCCTTTTGAATACGACACCCAATTTCTCATTTGGAAACCGCCTTCTTGGTGAATCCAATGAACAGTAGTTGCAAGGGTAGCTAATTCGTCTTCCGTGTCAGCACTCTGAAGCCAGTCATCAACAAACGTATTTTCAACGATGGCATGCACGGCATCGCGATGATGATCTGCAAAACGCTCAGCATTACGGTTCTTCACATAATTGGCTAATGATGGGGAGCACGAGGCACCGAACGTCATAACGTTCATTACGTATACATCGTAATCACGGGACCTATCACCATTACGCCATAAAAACTTTTGCGCCGTTTGGTCCTCTTTTATAATCCTAATCTGATGGAACATTTCGCGTATATCTCCACAAACCGCGAAGGGTCGTTCACGAAAGCGCAAGAGTATGCCCAGGAGAGACTTCAACAGATCGGGTCCTTTAAGCAGCATGTCGTTCAACCCGATACCACTTACTTTCGCTGCTGCATCCCATACCAATCTCGTTTTATTTTTATTGGCATTAAGAACCGTAAATATGGGAAGGTACCAAGACCTCCCGCTATGTTCTATCTCATTTTTTTATAGTTTCCGTACATACCCTTTTCGCTCATAATCTTGTATTATATCAATTAAAAAACGACTTGTAGACGGATCACGTTCTATTTTGCTTTCCAAGCATGAAAGCCGACGTATTGCCATTGGAAGCGAATCGGGAAGTTCGACAACATCGTGTTTCCAAAGTAATCCCGTTTCCCATCTCTTTTCAGCAGCGCAGAAGCGCGTGCTATTTTCCATGAGTTTGATTGCACGCTCATCATCCTTGCATAGGAGAGGCTTGGTTGGTGCATATACCCCAGTTGAATCAATCGAAAAGAACGCTTTCATTTGCTGGTCCATACGGTCTTCTGCAGATGGACTGCATTCGCAAGTGTGCAAAACCCGTGATTGCTCGGTACAGTCAATTGTACCTCGCCCGTAAATGCTCCATCCAAGACGGCACTTTGCGGCAATAAGGTTGGAGTCTTTATTCTCTCTTATTTCTATAGGAACCCCCACTTTTGCATTGTCTAGACCTATTAAAATTCTTGCCCTGGATCGATTATATGGTCGAATCGGCAAACCCTTAAAATGCGCATTATTGGAAATTGTGTCACTAAAAAGTGATTGCTGGGGAAGCCCGAGATTGGCGACAGTGCGAACATTGATAAGTTTGTACTTTTGAGAAGGTACGACGGTGGAGGAAATAAAGAGGCTAACACATTTTGAGTGTACTTCGCTTTGAGTGATTTCTCCCGTCCAGCGCAAACAAAGAGAACCTACTGGCCCATCTAAGGCGAGCTCGTCTGCCAACTCAGACTCAATTAACGTACATGATGCACCTTCATCGATCAGCGCAAACGTATTTATTGATTTTCTATCGCTATGTAAAGTAACTTCCACGTACCTGAAAAGTGTTCTTTGTTGTTCTTTGTCAGCTACAGTAACGGGTTCGTGATATAATGTTGTTTGCTCCCGTTTTTCGATCGCCTCTGATGATGTAGTGTGTAGCAGAGGATTATGGGCCATTTTACAACTATCAACGCCACAGCATTTTTTTGAAGTGCAGCGCCGAATGAAATGAGGTTTAAAGCAGCGCAAGCATAATCTTTTCTCACGAATAAATTTCCACCTGTCATTTTTGGAGAGCGCGATAAACGCATTACAGTCAGAAAGCTTGTGATTTGCCCTGCATTTCACACAGTTAATTGCCTTGTCGGTTGGCATAACTTCGTGTACCATAATTCTTGCTTTATGTGCTTCGCGCCTGCCCTTTTTCATTTCATTGTTGGTGTGATCTGACGCTACCGCTGATGGCTGCAGAGACGTCACCTGGCTCGCTCACATAGCAAGACTAAAAAGCCACTCATCGAAAGCAGCAATGTCAGCGCGGCTCAGCGACATGCACTGCTGGCCCCAGCTCAGCCTCTGACTGCATGGTAACTTAGCTACTAACTCATTTAATAAAACTGGATCATTTAAATTGTCGGTTAAGCCTACGGCCTGCGTTGTCGCGCGGTAGTTTTGTACGGCTAACGAAAACGCAACCAAAGTTTCTAATTTATCCGCCTTGACCGATGGCTCTTCCCTGAGTCTACGCTGCATCGCTTGATGGATAACATCTGGTCTACCATACAACATGCGGAGAGTGTTAATAGCTAAGCCAACCGTAGACGGCACCATAAGTCTACCGCGAACTGCTTCTAAAGCTGGGCCCTTAAGGCATTTTTGCAATCTGATGAGGTTTTCCTGGTCGCTGAACCCGCACCGGATTGTAGACTGTTCATAGTTAGTTATGAACAAAGGTCGCCCTGAGAATGTTGGCAGGTCTATTGTGAGTACGTGGCGACTAGCTATATGCGCCGCAGTTAAGTTGACATCGGCAGCCAATGTGCTCCTACATGTTGGGGTAGCGTTTGAATGCATCCCAGTCGATATAGTTTGAGCGGGTATAAAATTCGGATAAGAAAATCCTGAAGAACTGACAGATGTTGGCGGGTTGTGCATAGCAGTGTACGAAGGGAATTGCTGGAAGGCTGGTGCTATATTGCATAAAGTCGCGTTTGAGGTTAGGTTGGGCAGCATGGTCGTCATGCCGTTCGATGAAGTGACGTAAGGAGATGTCACCATGTCGGCGAGGTTAGGGACGACATTGCGCGTGTTCAATGGAAAATATGTGCCTGGCGGTTCCATAGTGTGGGAACCGATAAGTGTGTAAAGTGGCAAGGATCCGTACAAAGATGTCGCCATATTCCCAGAAGTGCCCGCAATACTCGTTGACGCAAATTGTGCTGAGTGCTGAACAGGCGTAGATGCATTACCGCGGTACCAGCGGTGGGCGTTTCAAGGCCTATTGTCGTGGTGTGGCCAATTTTGTCAGCCTCATCTATCGGGATTTCCTGCGGAATTGCACTTTGCGGTGTTGCTGTTGTGATTGTCTCAGAGTGTGCGGTTTCATGCGGCGATGTGGTTGCAGGTATGTTCTCCATTGCCACGAGGGATTAGATAGAGTATCTGGTTGGTTTTAATAAAGTTTTTCAGAATGCTAAACGACGGCAGTGCGACGTGCAGCGGAAGCGTTTTCTAAAGCTTCTAACAAATAGCAATCAAAGACTTCGCGAATTATGTATATTTGCAAGTATCAGAAGATGAAAACTTTATTGAATTTAATAAGTTTTACAATTCATAAGAGATTCTCGATTTACAATAAACTTACACTTTATATATCTGCTACGCCCATGCGCTTTTGTTAACAGTCAAAATGGAAAGAACTAAATTTGCTGATATTTGACAGGTGTCGATTGGCAAACAAGAGAAAAAAGAGGGTGTGAAAAAATGCGAAATGGGTTGCCAACGCGACCTTTCGCAACAGGTTATCTTCTTAGCAATATCATTTGCGCCCCCCCCAGAGCACGAAAAAGCGAAATTTCGGATAAAACATATTACCTCAAACGAGAAATTTGAAAAAAAATTTCAAGTTTTTTTTATTTTAATCTTCAACCGTAACCATTTTTTATGCTTGCACAAAATTATTTATAGAATCGTGTAAAACTCTTCGTCAACGTGAAAAATTAAAATAATGGGTATGTAGATACTATGAAAGTATGTATGTATGTCAAATCGAACTTTCTGATACTACTTTTTGTCTATTTCCGCGGTGCACGTATGTAGGAAATTTCACTTTCAACTGTGTAACCAGACATTTGTATGCGCATAAAAATATTAACGACTTGAAAAATGTAATAAAAATTAAAAAGTTAAATTAAAAGTTTACTTCGCCAAGCGCACTGCCTTGACTTGAATCGTGCTAGCGAAGCAGTCAATGGCACTGTGAATATTCTTCGAAATTATAGAGAAAATGCTGACACATATTTTTCTGATATATTTTCAAAAGTGACCGATATCGCTAAGGAATTGGATTTTGACATTGTCCTTCCTCGGAGAGCGAATAGAGAAAATTTTCGGGCTAATTATCGTTCGTCTAACGCTGAAGGTTATAGCAATATTTATACCGCTATTCAATAATATTTTGCTCGATCTCTGAGAAAGATTGCCGAACGGGACATTACATATTTTTGATTTGAACTTATTACTTCCATCTAAAATTGGGGAATATAATACGCCTGACAAAAAAATAATGCTATCGAACGTGTAAAATCGCTTGGAAAACGATAGAACTTTTCTTAGAAAAAGACGGTATCAATTTGGAAGGAGATTATAAAGTGTGGTTGGAACGATGGACAAATAAGGAAAGCGAAAAGCCATTCCCAAAATCAGCAGCAAAAGTTCTTGGTAAATGCGACGAATATGCTTTTCCATTGATTAACAAACTTCTCCGCATTCTCGTCATACTTCCAGCTAGTAACGCTATTTCCAAAATTAAACCCCCAACATATCGAGGGCTTATATTCATTACCCTCTATCTGCATTTTTCACAAAAACTGAGATTCTAATATAAAAATCCACCTAAGACTTGACTGTAATCGGTGGTGTTAATACTGACTTTGTATCACGCTTGACAGAAGAATTTACTTTTAAATTGCAAAGTCAGAATTAACACCAGTTATGACAAATAAGACCCAGATGGGTTCTAACATCACAAAGTTGTTTTTGTGAAAATTGCAGATGGAGGCTATTGAATATAAGCCCTCGATATTAGGTTTATTCCACAAGCTACTTGTAGAAAAACTCGAGCAAAGTTCAAATTGAGAGCATATATCAAAGAAACTCTAAAACTTACTTGTGGAACGCGTATGTGTAACTCGCAGTTACTTCGAGTAGCTTGTGGAACAAACCTATTATCGCAACTGGTACGTAACGACCCGGCGATATGCCCATAAAACGCTTGATATTTTTTTTTTGTATTAATTTCTTGGGCATATCAAACATTATCTGAAACATGTCAACTATAATTAAGTTATCTTCTTATTTTTTGCAGTACAGTTTAAGGAAGTTACAACGTTATGTAAAAACCTTAAGAAAATCCTAAAGCGTTTTGTTTGAATTGAAAATTCAGTACAAATCAGTACAAATTTTCAAAATTCAGGACATTAGCGTACTGATTGAAGAAATGAATAAAATCAGTACAAGAGCTGAAAAATCAGTACTGTACTGATAAAATCAGTACGTCTGGCAACCGTATGCAGGACCAAAATTAGCAAAACGCGGATTTTATTGTGGATTTCGGCACAATATTTGTTCCACAACTTTTTCCATCCATATAGATATTCTGGCGAAGTCCACAATAAAGACTAAATTTTGGAACTTTGGTTTTAATATAGCCAAGCCCAGAATATTCTTTGATTAAAAAAGTTGTGGAACAAATGTTTTGTTAACGAAGCGATATTCTGCCGAAATCCGCAATAAAATCTGCGTTTTGCAAACTTTAGTCTTCAATTGCCACGCCCATTTTTAGGGGTTTATCGTCTTAAAGAAAAATCTTACCGTACAAATATCATACCTGGATAGATATTCTATGGGAATCTGCAATAAAATTGAAAATCTTGCAAAAACCTGATGGTTAACACCTTACTAAATATATCTCAACATAAGTTTAGGAAAACAAATTACAAAAAAATATTGACTCTCACAAAATAAACCATCTCGTCTTAAAGAAAAATATTTTAAAAGTAGTTCTTGAAACCACTTTTTTTTATAGAGAATTAAACAAAGATTACGATGGTATAATTATAAATCCCTAATTTACTGGACTTCACTATGCAACTCAACTTCAAAAAGTTCAACTGTTAATAGCTAAGTTAGCTAAGAATGTCCTAATCTTGACCATCTTATATATAGATATATGAAGCCCGTTTCTTTAGCTTTAAAACGGAGTTAAGATAAAGTCTTTACGATGGGCAGAACCTGAGATATATCGATTTGAAGGAGTACATGATTAGTTAGAATCACAAAAAAATGCAAACTTTGACAGATCATATCTCCCAAGAAAAAAGCGAAAAAAAATTCCACGAACACGTGTTAGCTTATTTCATGTATAGAACCCATACAAAAATTTGAAGCCAATCGAAATTGTGACGCCAAATTTGGTGTCCGATATGAAAAAGAATGTGCTATACAACGGTCCAAAAAAAGTTTTGTTTTTTCTTGTTGGTGCCTCATTGAAACGTACGACTGACACGTATGTATTTTTAATGTACTTCATTGAATTATTATAATAAAAGCGTAGTAAAATAACACAATATTCCGATTAAGAAGGGAAAAAATACTGAAATGTAGCTACTCGGACCTGTTTACATATATGCATACATACCTATGTGCGAAATAATAGCAGTGCGACACTTTTACCAGTTTTGACTATACTTCTTTACATTTAATAATTTTTATTAATTTTATATAATGACCCTTACTTTAATTCTTTAGTGTTTTAATTTTCATTTTTCGAATCTATGAGTAATATATGATTGTTTGTTATATACTGGCTAAATTTCTATAATTTACGATTGTGCCAAAAGCGCCGTTGTGAATGAAAGTGCCAAAAATGGCACTATTGTGCCTACTGTTCCATCACTGGTCTACACTACGTTGCTTATGCATTTGACAGACTTTTCGTTCATTTTCTGACAGTCAGTTACGGCAGCTTATTCACAATAAACCTGCGAAAAGCTTTTTTTTCTTATGAAATCCTATTTTTCATATGTATCAAGGAAATCAGTTCCCCTCATATTGAAATCAGAGAGCTTTTTGTTTTATACATGATACAAATATTTAAAGGTAGTTTCACTTCCTCCTCTTATCCGCCATTGCTCCCATTTGACGTGAACTGTGCTTTTGACGTTTTCTTTTAAACTGAAGCTACCATATTGAAAAAACTAAAAAGTGGTTTTTACTTAAAAAAAAAATTATTCCAAAATTATTTTAAGGAATATGTTTTGAGCATAATTTTATAGCGAGCTATTAGTGGTTTATTTCTAAAATTAAATATAAAACGGAAGGCTAGTAAAATACTCATATTACATTGCGTAATGCACATGGATAATCTATTTGTTTATGCAATTATTTTCATGATTATTTAGTACGATTATCTGCATATTTCGGGATGGTGACTTCATCAAGGTGTTGTTTGCTTGTTCCAACAGCTTTTCGGCGGAAAATTTTCAGCCTCGGCACGGATGTGCCCAATCTAAGCGAAACTCTGCACCAGCAGCAGTAGAGCGAGTAGTTTATCTAACTATAAACTATAACAAGGAGCTCTAAAAATTTGTAAATTTTTTTACCTCCCTCTAAGTTTATGCTTCCATAGTGCTTTCATTGACGATAAGCTAATTTTTTACTTTTCCGTTGTTCATATGTCCTCTAAAAAAGATCCAAATTAAAGCAACATCCTAATATCTATAATAATATCTCATGGAACACTGCATATAATGCCAAATTTTTTTGCGGTAATTATTATTTATTATTATATTATTAACAGCTATGCTTATACGATGAATTAGGTAAATTTACCTTGCGTGTTGTTATTTTTTAATGCATATAAAATTCCTTAAAAAAAAATAAAATTTCCAAAACAATAATTGTTGAGGTGGCAATGATACTCGAGCAATTTAAGAAAAGTATAAACGTCGTAAGCACAGTTTATGTCAAAAAATTTCAAAGTGAAACTACCTTCTTTTTTTGTATCACGGTTTTATAAATATTGAAACAGAATGCGACGGGAAACAAAATCGTGATACAATTTTTTACAAACATTTTATCAAGAAAACACATAATTGGCGGTAAATATATGTAACTAAGTATTTGTCAATGTTTTTGTGGCTTAATAAAATTTTTTTTTTAATATTTTTTATTGAGCTTTGTACCACGATTGTTTATTAGGAAAAATTGAAAAAGCAACAAAGTCTAAGCGGTAGAAGTTATAGCACTATTTCGGAGATCACCACATCTCCTTATCAGACTTCTTTTTTCTAGACTTCAGCAGGGATCGAACCTGCGTAATCAATGTTCAAAGTCAGAAGCGTTAACCACTGAGCTA